ATGTTTCACAGCATGCTTTCGATAAACATCGACTTCACATCACTGCGGTTGTTCTGGCTATTTCACACAATTAACAAGAAAATGATACCTTATTCTTTTGCATAATCATGCAATGAAAATAAAAATTACATAAACGGATGATCAAACTTGATATTATTTAATAAAAATGTAATTTTTCCAAAATATCGTAAAGAAAAATCTATACATTTTCACACTCGTTTTGCTATATCGTAAACTAAGTCGAAACTACTTAGTAGAAGTCTGAAATGCGACTATGAATAGAGGTAAATTTTAAGTTGGTACTTAAATTTAAGTTGCAACTTTGTTAGTTTCGACTTAGTTGTTGGACTATGAATACGCGCCAATGTCTTTAATTTTCAGATGTTTGATTCTGCTATGCAGTGTCAAACCATTTCTGATTTTTTCGTTACACATCTCCACAGAGCCATACCTAAATAAGCGCGTCAAGCGTTAAGCCTGACGGCCTCTCTTCTTCTAGCGTATATAAATTTAATGCGTCAGAGAGAGATAAAGATACAAGCGAAACGCTCAACGCGCTAATTTAGGTACGGCTGTTACACATAGATGAATCAACCAAAACAAAATAGGCACCTGAGAAATTGTCTGGATATAATATCATGTCACCCACTGTATTTTTTTTTTGTCCGTTTTCACTTATTTTCTTTGTAATGTCGTCTAGTCCGTTTTCGTTCATTGCGTTTGTAGTGTTGTCTCGCTCATTTACACTTGCATTTGCAAAACGGTCTTGTCCGTTATCCGACGCCACAAAAGACGCCTCACTAACCGTTGCAGTTCCGTTATATTCAACGCACATAGAAGAGTCGCCACGCAAACCCAACCTCACTGGAAGTACAGTCTACTAAAATTTTGTCCAAATCTTGGCCTTTAAGTGACCTGACAAGCTTTTGTTCCCTATCTCTCTTGAACCTCTTGCCTCTTGCAAGGTTTGAGTTCACTAGCGAGACAAAATCCTCAGCCGACCACGCCCTCGACATTTGGCTTTGGATTTTCTTGCTGCCGTAGGCGACAGCCTTCCCAAAAATTTACAGCTCTACCACTCACAAAAAGTCAAATTTTCCACTAGTAAAAGGATCAGAATCATTCACCTGGGTTTATCCTTGTAAAGTGGTGACTTTACTTAGACCTTCAAAATTAAATTCTCCAGTAATCCACTTTAGGTGTCGAAACCTTCAAAAGTAGATCCACCTTCCTTACAAAATCACACTTTGTGTAGCAAATAAATTCACTTGCACATACAAGCAAAATTAAATAACACTATGCGACAGTCAAAATCGGGATGGGATGAAACCAACCGGAAATGTTATATCGGTCAAAAACAAGTTATACGTGGCCCGGCGTTTCGCTGGGTCACGTCTAGGAATCGAGATATATCGATTTGAAGTTAGTAACTATCATATAGGGGAAAT